TGGTGATTCCCACCTCTATTACCAAGTGTCGTCGTCTTTAGACCTTTGGCTGTCTGTCAGAGGACTGTTGTACTGCACTGTACGAGTGTCCTGGTGTGTACGGCTGCAGCAGCACAAACACATACCGCTCCTGGCTGCTCCTCCTAAGCCTGTTTTTATGCTCACTGTGTTGCTTGTGTCACATGGCGATTTTCACATCACATCCTGCGTTGCAAGACATCATTTTTTTGGTACGTCGGCCGGTCGTGCACTTTTTTTTTTTTTTTGGTAACCTGCTGCGTTGAAGAGAAGTGTACGATCGTGCAGGTTTTTTTTAACCACCGTTTTCAGAGATATACTGACACAGAGGAAGATGTTGCAACCGTTTAAAAATTTGAGTTTGTGGAAGGAACTTTGCAAAAAACAACCACTTGACAAAGTCCCGGCTTCTGGTTTTGACTTCTCGACTTTATCGGCAAGTATGATGCAATATTATCTGAGAGGCGATCCTATCATTTAGGAGAAAACTGCAGCGTCTTCTCGTGCCTTATCGGCGGGTATAAATGACTGCATCTGTGGGGCGGCGAGCGAAGCAACCACAACAGAGGGGATATTGGCACCTTAAAGGCCACAGTATACTCACTGTAACGGTCACTTTGCCCTCTGCTGAAACCTCATTTCACAGACACTTGTATTTATACCCACCATTACACTGCAGAAAGCTGCTGCGGTATATAACAATATAGGTATAACCATAAGTGTCGCTGCTCAGACAGTAGCGACACTGTCGTTGTTGTCAAAACTGGAGGCCGAGGCTTGTGCATCTGTACGTCTCTGAGCTTCTTTGCTAAAATGTAACTAAAACGGTGCAAAAAACCTTCAAGATCAATCACTCGCTTCTTCAACCCAGCTTACAAAAACTGAGAGGTGGACGACGTGTTGAGTGGCACCGGAAACTGTGTGCCTCAAACTAACCTGACTTGGCTCTAATCTAGCCACACGATTGGGTCAGCACGGTGCTGAAGCTGTCAACGCTGTTCATTTCTGTGCAGGTTTACAGGCGATCAGATAATTATTTCTCCCACGATTTATCCCACAATAACATCTCAAAGAGCCATGCACTCACTTCTGGAAGCAAAAATGGTGCTTAAGTGCGCGTCACAATCAACCTCAGAGAGTAAAAAAAGACAGAAGTACAAGAAGAGTTGAGTCATTACGCACCATTTGAAGAAATGCTGCCATCTTCGTATTGCTTAATTAAAATAACATCTACAAAGTCTCGTGGTGCTATGATGCCCATAGCTGCAGAGGGCGTAACTGTTCGGCAGATGGAGATGTCCTGCACGAGAGACGACAAGGGGACGAACTCAACAAAGCTTAACAAAGAACAAATATGATACATTTTGATATCAGTTCATCCAGAAAGTATTCGCAGTGCTTTACATGTTTATCATGGTTCAACCTTTAATTAAAGTATTTTTACCCCGAACCTCCACACACAACATCCTATAATGACAAAGTCAGAAAGTTTGCTTGAAATTATTGCAAATTTACTCTGTTTGTCAACCCTGCTCCATCTGAACATCTGCCAGTGTTCCTATGCTCAAGCATCCTCTCAGTCACACAGTTATCAGTAGCTCTCCTCTAAATTCGTGCAGCTGGTAACTAACTGGGTCAGGATACAGTGGTCTGGAAAAGTAGGCCCCAAGGCCCTGAATAGAGCAACCTGTAAGAAGCAGTTAACTATGAGTAAAATCACAAACACGTTTGGATTCTGTGTTTTAACAATTACAACATGTCATTTCTCTAATAGAGTCATATACAATGATGGGCAGGAGACATTTCTTATCTTTCACGTTCCTGCAGCCAGAGAGACTGATTGTCGTTTTATATTTCTTCCATTTCCAAATATTTGCACCAACAGGTGTCATTTTCATCGATCTCATTTCATCATCACGTTGAGATCAGTAGTATGTTGTTGAATGACTAATCTGTGGGAGACTGAATTCTGGTTGATTTGTATTGGATCAAATACTTATCTCAGTGAATTTAAAGGCATGCAAATCAATTTATAACCTTTATGTGATTTTTTTTCTGGATTTTTGGTTGATATTCAGTCTTTTGTTATTAAAGAAAAATACTGTAAATTAAAAAAAAAAATTGTTTTTGTGCAAACTTCAGCTGCAGTGTACATGAAAACTCTACGGTTAAATAAATAATAATAATGATAATAATCACAAAACATTGTTTGAACAGAAAGGAGACAGAAATAACACACCTCTGTAATTTGTTCCAGAACCTCAAACCTTTTCACATTGTTGTCCCACTTGACTCTGAGTCCGTTGGGTACCGGTTTAAGACATTCCCACACTTTGTCAGGAGTGCCGTTGACAATCCCGTCACCCTTATAACTGCCAGTGTAATCAGATAATGGCACACAGTCAGGAGAGAAGATTATGAAGGCAGGACTACCACACTGCTGTATAAGAAAACAAGTTGACCTACGCACACAGACAACAGAAGCAAAACACTCTGTTATAAATGCGACTTGCAAAAACATTCGCATGCAGGTGATGCACTGAGCATTATTAAAGCTCTACATGTAAGTATGTAAAGTAGACTCACCAGCTCCAAACTGATTCCTTTAAATAGGAGCTATGAAATTATCAATATTTTAAAAAAAGATATCTAATTTGAGAGCGGCCCATTTTTACCCTTACACCCAACCAGTGTCTTTCCTGAGGCCAGCTTTTCCTCCCATCTGTAACCAGTTTCTGGCTTAAAGAGGATTGTTGGATCATTTTGTAGGGTCTTTACTTTATGTTGTAAAGAACATTGAAACAACTGTTGTTGTACACTTGTGCTATACGAATAAAAGAACTCAGCATAATAATACACTCTGATTGATGCAATGCAGTTCAGCTATTTGCCAATTCTGAGGTTCATATCGTCATCAAACATTAGGATAAGTAATAATGATCTGCTGTAACTTTACAAGCTTTCATTATGAGGCCGGTGTAATGAAATCATTTATATTTCACACATATTTAACCTCCTAAAACACAAACTCTTTCATGTCGTTTTTCATTTCTCTTTGGGACCTGATGAATGTAAAAACAAAGAATTAGATGTTTTGTTTTGTTTTAATATTTGTTTGAGAAAGATGACATCCACATATGAGGACATTCACTTTAGATTTCAACAGAACAGCGGTAGTTTTATGTCCTCGTACGTGGATATCACGCCCCAGAGCAAAACTTTGTATTTTGGTCTAGACAACCCAAAATGTGATGTCCACATATGTGGACGCCAGGAGGTTAAAGTGGACACGAAACACTTCATGTATAAAGGCTAATTTACACCGTGGAGCTCTGCCCTCAAAAACAGACACAGATGTAAAACTGTCTATGTAGCTGCACTTATAAACGTGTTTTAAAAACTTGAATGACTTAATGCCATCTTGTGGCAGAACAGAATGTGACATCAATGGGTTTGTTGGCTGGTTGCAGTCAATAGACTTGCATTGGTTTCTGTTAGCTAACTAGTAACATAACTGATAAGTTGGTGGAAAATAAGAACACTAAAACTAAAAATCAGTCCCAGAGGGTCACTTTTGTGCTGCCCCTGGCAGAAACAATGAGTTAGTTTTATCTTAAGAAACTGAGTATATGCTGTCCACTGTCAGTCTGTGTCTCTTAACCAGTAAGTGGTTCCTTATCGTTTGGCCAGCTGCACTGAAAAGGGAATTTCCACCATGAACTGGTAGATTCCCCTTAATACCTGCACTTTAAAGTCAAGAACACACACTACTCTATTGTTTTATCTGAGTTAAACTAGAAGTTGAATAAAATCCTCCACAGATAAATGTATGACTACAATTACTGATGAAAAGAAGTGCAAAAAAAACAATATTCCAGGAACCCCAACAAGCACAAACGTTTTTCTGAGGCATTTCTGGTTTGACATGTTTAAGAAGTCACTATTATCCTTATGCCTGTTTTTATTCTTACACCTGCACAGCAATGTTTTCTCCAGAAAAGCACTGATCTGTATATTTGATGTGTGCTTAACACGTCAGAAAACCAACGGTGCAAAAGAAGTGAAAAAAAGACAGATTTCTCACAGATTCCCCGGGAACTCCGACGAGGGTCGCCACGACACAATGACATCGTTCTGCCAAAGAAAACGGAACAATAACTGTGAACAGCATTTGGTTATAACTGTGTCAGGTTTGTTGAAAAACTATGCAGAGAAATTTGCATGAAGAGTTACACATGTATATGATACACAAATGATTTACAAATGCGCACAATGATTTGTGTGTAACCTTCGGGTACACACAAATGTGTGCTTCAATTCACATACAAAAAAAAACAATTTTACAAATGTGTCCATCCAAACTTGATGCACACATTTAAAATAAATAGCGATCATCTGCGTGCAACTTTTTGAATTGGAGTTGCACAAAAGCTTCTTGTGCATACGTGTGTCTAAAATACATGAGATCCACAAATGTATGTTATGTTCAAGTCCCATAGGAAAACTGGGACATCTGGGCTTCCACTCTGTTCCCGTTTCTTTTTCTAAATAAACAGACCAGTTCATCAACCCTCTATTAGAAAACATAGATTTACAAGTTACAAACCCCACACATTAACCTCTAAAGGTTAATGTTCTTCAGTCGGTGCGTAGCTGCAGATGGGGGAACACTACGGTTGAATATCCCTGTGGATCATCCTCTGAACTAGGTATATGCTAACGAATCTCTGTACATTTGAATATGGATAAACCAGGTAGTGTGGAACACTTTGATGTTGATCCTACTCTTCTTGGATAACAGCAGGCTAACATTGATATTAGCTTAATAATTAATGATAAAGTTGGTCATCTGAATTCATCACTAAGTTAAACGTTTTCTGCTCTCAGCTAGCATCAGCTTAAATACACCCTGCAGATGATGATGAATCTCTACCAGTAAAATTACCCACAAGAGACTGCGAGCAATCTGCCAGGTCTCTGCTAGCAGAGAGATTTACCTCAGTGTTACAAATGCATAAGATTTACGCATGATACATTTTTTCTCTTTTTTCTATATTTAACAACTTTCTATCTAACATTCACACACATTCACACATCGATGTGCATCAGAGAATTTGGGGTTAGTATCTTGTCGAAGGATATTTGGCATGCACCTTGGAGCAGCCAGGTATCGAACTGCCAAGCTTTCGATTAACAGATGACCTGCTCCTGACCTACAGTCACGTACTGTACAGTGTACAGTGATTTCTGTCTAACTTCTGAGGACTCACAAATTCCAATCCACATACAAATACAAAGCAATTTGACAGATGTGTAAATCCAAACCTGAATTGTGATCATTTAACCTCAATTTTTAACTTTTATACAAATGTCTAAAAATAGAAGTAACAACTCACTTACAAAACCTTAAATGGATGTGCATGAATCGCCTGCTACTAGGAAACCATGACGTCTAGACTTCCTCTGTATTCCTGTTTTTTCTTTTGAATTTTTGTTAAATAAAGTAGAATGTCACCGCCTAGCAGAAAACAGAAGTATCTGTGTGGCAGCCTTAACAAGAGCTGTTCCAATTCTCCAAATAATAAAGAAAGGAGTTTCACTGCTTCCATTAGCAGAGGATACACTGGACCATCGGAGAGAGCGGTGTCCCATAATTCATTGCAACAGACATAATAAACAATTGCTCAGATCAGGGAAATCATAGCATAAATTCTTGATCTATTTAGAGTTTTTAACAACAGTTTGTTAAAGTCACAGCTGAACTCTGAACATCACACTGCTGGAATAAAAACTTCTTGTTGAGTTGTTTCTCCATCAGCTCAACATTATGATTTACATTCACTGATAGAAATGTGCTTAACGTTCTGTATAATCAGTGTTCATCGGTAACGCACTTTCCTGTAGTTTTAGTCTTTAGGATTTATTTTTTACTTCAGTACAAGTCAGCTGGGATCAGTGATGGACGGAGGGGATTTTACTGCAGTTACAGAAACTCTTAACAGGGAGGAGGAAAGAAGTTCCACTAAACGACAAAATATGAGAAAATAAGATTGATCTCATTTTATAGATATGGGACAGATTTACTATGTGAGGCAAATTACTGTCATGATCTAACAATGCACTGTAATTTCTATACAAAGATGCAGGTAGTTCACTTCAGTGAAAACCAGCAGAGAATGTGAATTAGAGACTCAGAAATTCAATGCAAACTAAATTGCGTCTCTGAAAACAGCGAGGCAATTCAGATAAATGAGGAGGCTGAAGGAGAATCGATATGCTTTTGAAATAAGAAATAAAATTCACAGAGTACTGTGCAAAGGGTTCAGATGATTAGGACTCAGTGCAGATTTATCCAGAGGAGCTGCAGTAGAAACGGGTCCATACTATGAACCTACCTGTGCAAACAGTTGACCTGTACGAGTACGGAAAGTCCGGACTTGCGTACTTTGGTACTGAGAAACGACCAATATGTGTTCTTTGTCTACTATTTAGCTGTAGTCAGTACAGTCAGTAGTAAAACACACGTTTAACTTCTCTGTGGTGAATGAATGGGATGCACAATGTTATCAGCTAAGCTTTCAAGTTAGAAATCCAAACTAACGTTTGTGAACTTTGAACTACCGACGCGGGCCACGTCAGTTAACCCACTAGACCAGAGAACAGCAGGTATCTCGAAAATGTAGGGAAATAGTGTTGAGCTCATATGAGGATGTAAGAAACATTTACCGATTTCTTGCAGACTTTCCATCCAGACTCATCCTTCCTGTAGCTCATCAAGCAGTCGGCCACTGCTTTCGCTTTATGTTCATAATCCATTTTTGGGAATAACAATTAATCTTGCTCACCTAATGCAAAGGAGATGATTAAATAGCTGACGGGAAACACAAAACTGAAGTCACGCTGGATCTTAACAATACAAGTCAGGTCCAGCGGCTAAAAGTACCTAACGAAGGCTAGAAACGCAAAGCCTGGTCAGGTTAGTGTGGACCGCCGCTACAGAGCTAGCGTTAGCCGGAATGAATGAGACGAGCTGCGCAGCGGCCGCATGGCTGAGCAACGATGCTCCATTGGCTTAAGCTGGTGTGACTTTCCGTCCCTGCCTGATTTAAAGCATTAAAAATGTAATTTTGCACAATTAATTTCCCCAAAGTACAAATAAAGCACCGGAATCAGTTATTGAGATATCGCGTCATCAAAAACAATAAACTTCCGGGAGCTTTCAAAACAAAACACCTTTAAACCTTATTTAATTACTTCTCATTCATTCATTAAACGTTAACAAATAGATTTCAGTGAACTTTTTGAAAACGTGATTCCAGTATTCCCATGATAAAAAGCCCAGTGGCTTTTAATAAAGTGATATACTTTTGATTTAGGGAGAGCAAGCTCACATCTATCTTATTTTGAAGTCCCTCAGTCCTCATAGAAATGTCTCCAGCTTCACACACACCCGTGAACACCCTCTTCCGTGATTACAGCAAATTAAGCTGGGTATTTTAGTCAGATAGATAAAATTGTATCCGACCTATCTATCTATCTATCTATCTATCTATCTATCTATCTATCTATCTATAATAAAAGGCAACCAAATGTAATTATTTAAGTTGTTTATGTTTTTATTGCTGATGTTACACAAGTAGACACATTCTTCTATTGTTCTTTGCACTTCCACAATAGCTAGTGCAATTATTTAACAGCATCAAAAGGATATGGAATCACACAAACACAGAAAGGAAAGGACATTTTTGTGTGCTTTCAGTGCAGAGTGTCAGTTAATGCCTAATGCTACATATATTATTTAACAGAAACCAACATTTCAAACATTGGAGCAGACCAGATCATTTGATTCAGTGATTTTTAGATCAAAGCTGGTTTTGGATTTCTTTTTGGCCATTTGTCCTTGCCTGGCTCCAGACTTCAAATAGCGCTCCTTGTTGTGGATAACCTGAATATACTGGTCATTGCTGCTATTCTGCTGGTCACTGCTAGAGGCCAGGGAAGCTGAGTCGGACTCAGTCTGCACATTCTCCAGCTTTTGCTTTGACTTGGACTTCACATGAGGCTCAACATGCCTGGCCCGAGTTTGAGGCAGATACTGTCTTCTCGGGGAATGAATGTGACATCTGGTTTGCAGAAGAAGAGGGTCAACTACTCTCACATTAGCCTGTGACTCAGAGTGTGACTCTTCATCTCCACAGGCTATTTCTCCCACTCCATTCTCCTCTTCATCTACGTCTTGAGCCCCATATCTTCCTTGAGCTGTGTGGTTTTCTTTAGATATAGTTATGTAGGTTTCTAGACGGTCACCAATGTAGAAATGTGCTGGCTGTTGGAGGTTAGACGGCGAGCGGGGCCGATGACTTTTCCCTAGTGACATCTTTCTCCTGCCTTTCCCTTGGTCTTCCTCCTCATCCTCTTCACTTGGATGTTGCTGTGATGCGTGGGACTGGTGAGGACGTGGTTTACTGTGAGCGTTGCGTGGTGTGTAACGTCTGACATTACGTGGGTACAGTTCCATGATCTCTGTGGGTTCCTCCATGAAATAATGGCGTGGGACCCGTGTGGCTGAGCGCAGCAACTTTTTCCTGGGTTCATGCTCATTGACAATCACATAGCGGGTGGTGTGACCACGGCGTCCTCTATAACTCTGAGCAGTAATGATCCCAGCAGCTTCAACTGGATGAACAGAATGTACAGTCTTCCTGCACAAGGGGTCAGAGTGAATGCTGTCAGAACAGTGAGGTGGAGAATTGTACACCATGTGATGGTAGGACTTGGATCTGCAGGTACCACTAGGACCACCAAGAAAAGGTGGAGGCCTATAATGAAAAAGGACAACAATAACAATCAGCTTTTGTGTTACAGCAGATTACATTTCGTTGTTTTCCATGGATTACAAATGTCAGTGCTCTCCACAGAACACTAGTGTTGTCGAACAGGGGAAAATGATACCGTCTTTACATATCTCTGCCCCCTGATAAAATGCTGATTAAGGATTATTTAGCTACAAATTAGGGCTGAATGTTTAATCCTTGTTATATTAAAATCAAGAGGAACTTGATTGACAGCCGTTTGTAGTCAATGATTGACTAAAGTCTGGAACCCATGGACCGATCAGTTTGGCAGCATTGCGTTGAATCTGCGTAGTATAACTCGGTTCCCTTTGCCACAATACAAACTTTGTCTCTACCATGTTTGACAGATAATTTAGCATGTTTTGGATCACGAGCTGTTCCTT